ACACAGTGAAATCATTTACATATGAAACGTTGCTGGTAAGCCTTACTTTTATAGCTGTGGTTATACTGAAACCACTCAGCAAGCTTTATGTTAAACAACAAATTTTGTAGAGTTTCTTGATGTTTTTCCTTTCCCTCTTCCCCTCTACTCTTGTCCTCCCCATATAGATTAAGAAACAGTCACATTTGATGGCTCCTGGTAAGAAATCATCTCTCCTGGTTTTAGACTGACCCTTTCATCAGGGCTAATAATTAACTATCTCAACGTGCTTGGTTTTGTTTTGGAGATTTCTATTGAATTCTTTCTGGTGTTATGCCAGCAGATCCCTCTCCTCAGTAGTGCATTTCAGAGACACTCTGCTCTCCAGGGACTTCTGTTCTCACAAGGTCTTACAGGCAGACTCAGACTCCTCCTAAGCACAGGCCTTATTAGCATGCAAGTTCAGCATCTTGCTACATCAGTTTTGCTTGCTGAGTTTGGGAAGAGTTGTTAGGCAGTACTGATTAATAGAGCCTTCTCATTTTTAACCTTGGAAAGGGAAATGAGTCTTACAGATAGATGAAGGCTGTAGCTTTACTTCTTTGCCCATGTTGTAATGCCTTCTGTTGATCAATTAGACTATATGCTAAGCTTAGTTTAAAGTTACTGAAATTGATCTTATGGAATATTTCCTGGGAAGATGCTACTTTATCACCTGATTACTTGAAACAAAAATCTGACCTCAAAGATGCTGGGGAAGCATGTTAGTTTGAAGTGTCTACTCCATGTTTCTTCGTGTTGAAGGTGCTTCAAGACCTCATTCGCTGAAAGTAAATTCAAATAAGTTTTGATGGTTTGTCTTTGTTAGGTGATGTAACTCTAGGAAATGAATTAATACTGAATGATGGATTACCTGTTCAAGATGATGAAGTTTGCTTTTAACCTCTCGAAGAAAACTACTCTGGTCAGTTTATTAAAGATAGAAATCTCATGTTTTTGCCTGATTTCTGTATGAGAGAAGCATGTAGGAAAGTACAGAGCCAGTGAGTCTACTTCCATGATCCTGCTGCTGCTGTTAATTTTGAAATGTGCACAAACAGTACCTTTGAAACGTGCTCTCTTTCATGGTCATCATTAGCACCTCCGTAGCCTAGCAGCTTCCCTGAGAGCTGGCTGCAGGCTTGGACCTTGTCTCAGGTGATGTAAAGTGTATTAAAAGCAAGCGCTTCTCTCTCAGCACTGACTGGGAAACAAAAGGCTTCCCCCGCTCCTGGTCAGCCTGTGGATCCCAAGCAAGACAGTGGCACTTTCTCTTGACGTCAAGGAAGGGCCACTGCCAGCAGCTCATTACACACACATTGCCTCGGTAATGCACCTTCTGCCTGTCACTATAGCAACCCCCTGGAAAATTACATCAGCAGCCACTAAAACTCAGTTTTATAAATCTAATTACAGGCATAATTAATGTTTTTAAACTTAGTCTGTACTATAAATTTACTCAGACCTATGTGATTTGGCTATTTTTTTTTTTTAAGTAATATTATGCTATTTACGCTTTTTTTTTCTTTTGTGTAATGCCAGCTAGGTAAATACTGTTCGGATGAGAGGCTGTATAACTATAGCGTGTCTCATCAATGTAAGACATTTCCTAGCAAGTGGTAAAAATAAACTCAGGGTGCTGTATAGTTGGGACCTAAATGGTTGCACAGTTGCTGCTACCCATGCCAGCAAATGCCCCATCGTAACACTCATGGTTACATGCTTTTGGAATAGCCCTCAGGACAGCTGCCCAGGGTACTTCCAATATCCATATCATTATTATGGTTTTAAGTGTCAAAGTTAAAAAACTTCAGAGGAAACATCTGTTTGGGGAAATTGTTGGCAACACTCTTTTTGTGGAAGTTAATGTTTACGACAAGTCTTGTGGTTTGATTGCAAGAGTGCACGTCTATCCATTTCTTGTATATGCTGAGGAGTTAGTTCCATTGCAAAGGCTGATGGCACTATTTGTGCATAAATTCTGAGTTAGGCACTTATCCTGAAGCACCCTCTGCCTATCTCTTACATGCCTAAATTTTTTGTATGAGGACAGGATTTGTTTGCCGAGGTGAGCCACGTTATCTGTCAGTACTTTGTTTAGGTCTGTATTAGACAAGTGCTTTAAAGTCGTGGTAACATTTTTTCTTCATGAGCAGGTGCACAAAAAAGTGAATAAAAATCTTCATTCTCTTTCATTCCTCGCTCATCTGGATTCAGAGAAGCGAGACATTTCACATAGCCGTGGCTTCGCAAGTTCTCTTCTGGTTGCAGATAAGCCAGCATAGGAAGTAGCTCCACCCTAATTTCCTGCTGGGGTTTACGGACTTACCACACCCCAGGCTGTATCCATCAAATAGATTAGCTTAATTTGAACAGTTTCAGTAGTGTTTCTTCAGTATTTTAATTTTTTTCTTGATAGAAATTTGTTATCAAGCCATTGCACAAGCAAAAGATGTGGGAGCTGAGGATGTGCAGAGGTGCAGCTAGGGCGGGGGTTGAGCCAGTGCAGTTGAAGATGGGAAAGAATTGACATTCGCTAGCACATTTTGACTTTTTATTTAAAGTTTTGGCTTCCTAAATAAATAAATAAATAAATAAAAAGCTAGCTTAGTAATCTGTAGGCTGCTTAAAATCTGTGCATGCAGTGCTACATTCCCCTGGTGATCATGGTATTTCTTTAAAACTCAACTTCATGTGGGGAAAAAAAAGTTAAGTTTCCATTTCTTTTGGTGTGAGGAAGATTTCAAAATACAAGCCTTTGTTGTGACAATGAATTAAACTATGGTAAAGGATAAAAACCAGAATTCTAAATTTTCATTGTTACAGGAGCAGCTGTAATAAATAAAATTGTGTATGCTGGTGGTAGATCTTTAAATATTAATGATATTCCAGCTGTATATTTTTTCATGTAAATAGTCACCTCTATTTATTGACATAATCCCTTTTAGCATTTTGAAATAGTGAGTCAACCCAACAAGTCAGTTACTCAGAAAAAATCAGACTCACCGCACCCCTCCTAATGCAATGCGAGAATCTACTCTTGTGCATCAAGAAGAGAAAATGTCCTGGTTTTTTTAATGTGTAATAGTATGGACATAAAAGTATGGTATTACACAATTAGGACAAAAGTCATGATAATGTGTTGAGCGTAAGTGTGTTGATCTCTCCCTCTGACATTTTAGGAAGAAAGACTGTTAATTTCTGCAGTGTATCAAAACCCATCGGGTTTTATATAAAGCAGTGGTTACAATGAAAAAGAAAGGCTCCAGTGTCAATCCCAATGATACATGTTCTTACCCAAAGATAACAAATCTTTTAATTAATTGTGTTTTGGAGGTTAAATTAATTTTCAGAGAGAATTGAATAGGTTTTAGTGATTTTAGAGTATATTGATGGCACTTTGTGTTGCTGCTACAGGCAAAGCTTTCAGTATGATTTTCAGAGAAATGTTTAGTCCCTTGGTAGCAGAATGTGAAGTTACACATCCTCATATGGTAACAGGAAGCGCAGCTGATCTGCAGAACTGTTAAAGTCAGTAGCAGAAAATAATCTGCTCCTTTGCTTCATAGAAACAGTGCACAAACTTCACTAAAATCTGAATTCTAACACAAATCATTCTTAGCAGCAATGTCTCTGTTAAAAAAAAATCTACAAAATTTAAAGTGAATAAGTCTATTTTAAAATAATTTCATTGACTGTTTTCTGTGTACTCACATAATGAAAATAGCAATAACAATATTTAAAAGGTTATGCAACAAAGAACTGAGACATTTTCATTTAAATAAATGGATATAAAGGAAAAGTGGCAGGGGCTAAATATCATTATTTGAGAACGAAAAATGCTGGATGTATTCTAAATTGCTTTTGTTGGACTGTAGATTCCAGTTATGATTTGTCAGTATGAAAAAAGATTTTTCTTTTTAAAATATTTTATGCATACTGTCTGACTTTTATGTGGAGTGCTTTTTTTTTTCTGTGAGATACTGATTTTGACACTGCTTTCTTGATTCTTGGTCTGAATTCTTAATTTAGGAGAGCCCCATATTTTTTTATCTCAGTGGAGGAATCTCTTGGGAGGAGCCCAAGCTGCCTGGTGCCCTGATTTCATGAGATGTCGGTCTCATGGACCCAGATAAGCTATCACACACGCTGGTGCTTTATGTGTGAAACCCACCATGAAGCAAAAGCAGAAGAATTTAGTGTTGTTGGTGAACTTTTACAAGCAGTTTTATAGCAATTTTGGGTTATTTACTAACCAACTGGGGTGTATTTCATGTACTGCAGGCTTATTAACTTAATCGGAAGTTTCAGTGTCAATACAGGACTTTCAGGTAAAAGAGATCCCACTAACAAATCAACGCTGCCTTCTACTAATAAAATTTGGAGATTTTTTTTTAATATATGGTTGGATGGATTTTTCCTTTTTCTGTTTTTTTTTTTTAAATTTCATCTTCAAACAGCACGATTTTTCCTCGTGTCGTTTTATAACAGGTAATGATCTATTCTGTAGCAGTTTAGTGATCTTTGGGATATTCATGTTGTGTATTCATGTGTCTGTGCAGACACTGTGTAGTGAACATTGACAAAAATGTTACAAGTTCAAGTAGAACTGTGCAATTTTTTATTTCTCAAGCATTTTGTAATATTTGTCCCTAAATTGTCTAGAATTATGTAATTGAAAACTTTGAATCTTTGGTGAATTTCCATGTGAAAGTCAAGCAAACTTGCATGAAAAAAAAACAGAATAATTATGCTGAATTATTGTAGAATTCAATTGAAGCTGTGAAAGTGAAAAGGGAAGGCAGGATGGATCGCGTTTTCGTACTTTGTCCCCTCGTCTAAGCCGATAATGTTCTTTTTTTTTTTGTTGTACTTCTTCCTACCCGACAGCCCATTTCAATCCCCAAGTCTTCATTTCTCTTTTCCTCAGTGGGATGATAGTGTCACTGTCTTGCATTCCTGTTGTTTCTCCCTGTCTATAGCTATCTTAACGACTTGGACCGCATAGCAGATTCCACCTATCTGCCAACTCAGCAAGATGTGCTCAGAGTTCGAGTTCCAACAACAGGGATCATTGAATATCCTTTCGACTTACAAAGCGTCATTTTCAGGTAGAAAAAAAACTTTTAACACTCACTCACCTCGTTTCTTTTGTTTCCCTTTACATTAGTAAAACTATGCATAGGATATTGGTTAAAAGTTCTTAGAAAGCAATTATTTTATATTGTTAAAGTTTGAATGTCGTTGTCCCCATATAATAAGGAGCTGATGTTAAAGATGTCAAAAGGAAAAAATACAATTAGGTTTGTCTTTGAACTCCATGATCCTAAAAGGTCTTTTCCAGCGTAAATGATTCTAAGATAGAAAACCTGCAGTTTGTCTTTTCGACAGTGTATCTCAACATTTCACTGTCAATAATCTGAAAATCCAGTCATGTGTATTCAATCATGTAATTTATGGAATACAAAGTTACCACTTGTGTAGTTGAATTTTAGAGAGAGATTATTCTCCTTTAGAGAGAATTCACCTTGCCTGAATGTAAGTACAGTTGTTTCAAAAATAACTACGAAATTGCAAGTCCAGGTTCTTCACCTATGTTTAGTTACACTGAGACAAACAGCATGAAGTGAGAATACACTGGGAGCAAATCTGAGTTTTAATTTTGGCTATTAAATATTTTAGTAGATATATATTGTGTTCTATTTGTCCTTTCAGAATGGTGCAGCTTTAACAAGTTCATAATTTTGACTCTGGTAGTTTGAGGGCAAAAGGCAGACCACCAAGTCTTTTCTGTTTACATCTATTTCTGCCAAATCATGGCTCATGAGAAATTTGCATCAAAGAAATCTGAGGGCTTTGAGACCTATGATAATTTAAATACAGAAAACACGTCAGATTTCAAAGTAAATACTATTAACTGTTTGTTTATAACAGATTCCATTAAATATCAATGAAAAAAATAATTTAGGGAAAAAAACCCAAAATTATTTAGTTTTGTCATTTTGTGTGTGCTTGTTTGTACCTTTTTAACCTGTATTCATGGAGCTGATGTGGATGTTAATTTTGCAGAATGGTGGATGTAGGCGGCCAGCGATCAGAAAGAAGAAAATGGATACATTGCTTTGAAAATGTCACATCCATCATGTTCTTAGTAGCTCTTAGTGAATACGATCAAGTGCTTGTGGAGTCAGACAATGAGGTAAGCAAATATCCACAAAAAGCACCAGTTTTAAAAAAAAAATAACATCACTTGTCCAGTACCAGGTGTTTTCCAAATGCATCTACCAACTATCATAACCCAACACCATCCAATGGAGTGAGAAGCATTACAAGCATCAGCAGGGGAGAAGGGGATCAGTCTTAAAATATGGCAAAGCTGATCCACTCCCTGGAGGATTCAAAGAAGCCTGTCTATTCTGTGCTGAAGGGAAATAGAGTTGAGTATAGAAAAACTTAACTTAGTGTAGCTATTTGTGCAGTTAGTGTTATGTAGCAGGTCCAGAAAACGAAGCAGTGGAAATGAAGACAAAACTTCGAGGTTCCTTGCTAGAACAGGTCCAAAAGTAGTAAATTTAATCCCTGTGACATAAAGCATAGGATATAGAAAGTAATGTTTAGAACTTTTTTGTCTTTCCTGAGGACTATTTTAAGTTGTGAGTTACTTGCTGGCACTCTCCAGTGCAGGGTTTTTAACACATACTTAGAGAAGTTAGGTGAAAAAAAAGAAAACATTTGAGTGTTCTTCATGGCTGCATACATGTTGATTTCACTGTTTAAGAGAATGGTTGACATAACAAAGTGAAATAGATGTCTTTGGATGTTCATGTTTGTATGCTAAACTTTCTTCAGGATTCTTTTTTTAATGAAGTGTGGGTGCTCTGAAGTCTTTGACATTTATAGTCTTTCCCTAAAAAAATTGTTACTTGAGTTATATAATCAACTATATCAGATATTCAAAGGTGAATTTACAAAAACGATGATGTAGTCTGCACCAATTTCATCTGTTGTAATTTTGGAAGCTAGATTCATGTAGATAAAAAGAGAACTAAGTCAGACATGGCTTGTTTCAAGCCAAGCCAGAAATGTCTGGATTAATCTTTTTCTGTTTGCGTTATCCTTTTGTAAGCACAAGGCCAACACAGAAGTATTAAAGCATTTTAATTATGCAAGTCAAAACAGAATACATTGGAAATCACTTAAAGAAAAAGTACTTACGGTAATTTTCAAATGCTATTCTATCTGTCCAATATCAGTTTCCAAACTTCTGATGTTAGCTATTTATCACTGTGTTTTCGTAATGTCGTTCCTCAAGGGAGAGGTTCTTGTAGGAACTGTCTCACAGGGAGAGATTTACCAGATGCTGGTTCTCTGTTATGTGTATCCTGTTCTAGTTAGGGGGTTTGTCAGATAGTGTGGAGATCATGCCTTAGAGAATCCCTGTTGTAGAAGATGGAGTACTATGTTCCTAGACCAAATCATTTGGACTGTGCAGTCTTCCTTTGTGTTCTCTTAAGTTAAAAAGGTTCGCATCTTGTGAACTGAATAGAACATCCATCTGAAGATTCCCTTTATATTTTAGGATCTCCAGTGACTAAGTAGTATGCCTTATGAAAGTTTTTCTTAACTACATTTCAACAGGATCACTTTACTCATAAATCTATTTGCAATTTTCAGGTTTTCACTTTTGAAATAGTTTGGAGACAAAAGCTGTAAAACTCATTTTCTTCCACCTCACTGCTTAAACTGGTTATGTTTCTTACTAACAACAGCAGAAAACTTACGAACTTGTTTGTCTTTAAAATGTATTCATAACTTGAATGCAAACCAGTTTTAGTTTTCAAGTCATACGTAAATACTCTAGTAGCACTCTCTGACAGCCTTAGCTCTGGGATGGATCGAGACTGTCTTAGGGCTAAGCACCCTTCAGGGCAGCAGAGTTCTGGCTTTCAGCAAGCTGTAGCCTGTCTGTCTAGATTTTGTTGGTATACCAAAGCTCTGCTTGCTTCCCTTTCTTTTCCCTCCCCTGTATGTCTAGACATTGCAATCCCAGAGTGGTATGGGAGAAGAACAGATTTCTTTATTCAATTTTTTTTTTTCTTTGCTTGAGTGTGTCAAGCTCAGTAGGGAAGACAGTAATTTAACTTGCCGACTTTGGTAATCAGCCAAGAGATAGTTTTCGCACTTACCTCTAAATTATGAAACAGTATTAAAATTTTAGCAGCAAAATGAGAGACTGTGTGTAAATGCCCTACTTTCTTCATATGTATGCCATCTGTGATACTATGATAGAATCTTTGATCTGTGTGCCTCTTACTGAAATTAAAAAATCTGACTCGACAACTTGCAGTATTCTGTTACTCCCTTTGCATTGCTTTCATGCCCTGATTAAATGGTATGATTTTTGTAAGATGGCCTACTTTCTTTTTTTAATTAGTCCACTGCATGTTAGTGCCTGAAGTCTCTTTTCCCTGTACTATGCTTTTGCAAAAAACACCCTTTCCTTTTTAATAATCTGTGGCATTGTTTTCAGTTAATAGATTTTTTCATTAAACGCGTTTTTATGAGTAAACATAAATCTGTAAGAATTACTATTTGCCATTCATTGCATGTGTGTTTTTATGACTATCGTTATAAAACTGGTTAGAGCCCTTTAGACTCTTTTTTTTCTTTCAAAATGTAGTACCTGATAGAATCTCAGTTGTAAATACATTTATTCCCTTGTTTAGCGCGTTCAGGAGAAATACATTTGGGTTATAAATCAGCTGAGGATGTACTAAGATCATAGGCTTTGCTAATGTCTCTCAAGGGCTTTTACTCACTGGATGTACATGGGATTGATCTGAGAACTGTTTCTGTCTTCATGGATTTTTAAAGTTCTGAGGAATACATTGTAACTACTCTGTAAGGGGACTTCATACATAGAAAATAAGTTGAGCATTCAGACTGCCTGTTATTCAGAGTCCCATGTAGGATGACTCTTAAATAACACATCTGTGAAATTTCGCTCCCATGACAAAGATCTGCAGCTAAAGAATTGGGGGCTTCAGTCCTGAAGAAAAGCACACGTGGTTGCCCAACTGTATTTTAACTAAAATTTCTCTAACAGGCAGCACTCGGAAGCAACGTTATGTCTTCGAAGTATGCATTTAGATTGTACATAACTAAGCATCTGATTTTGGTGCGTAAATACAAAACAAAAGGCATCAGTGAAGACAGTGTATTTAAACATATCGTTAAAAAGTTTTGGGTGATGTATAGTTTTGAAATGCCTTTCTCTTCCTAAATCCATGTAGAAGGAGAGATAGCTAACTGTTCCAGATTCTGCCCTTAATAAAACAGTTGTCTGTCTCGATTCATTGGTGAAAATGAGGACAAAGTTTGATCCAGAGGACATGATATACTAATTACATTAATAGTACTGTAAATTAAGTAAATAGTTCTCAGTCTTATATGATATGATGAAGGAGAACATGTTATAAGCTGAAGTATCAGACATTTGACCTTTTTCACTTCTTCAGAAAAGTCTCACAATTAGAGATGAGATAAATGAAGGAATCATCTCTGTTAAATTGATTTATGATGTGTTATATCCTCTAGGTCAGGCCTTTGCGCTGAATTATCCCAGCAGATCTGGAGAAATCTGCAGTTTTATTTAAAAAGCACAGTTTAGGACTTTTCCATTTTTAAAATCAACTTTTCTAGAGAAAGCATTTTTTCTAGATAAAGTATATTAATCCATATTCCAGTGTATGCTGCATTTAAATATCACAAGTAGCTCTTCTAAACATATACAGTCTCATGGTCTTAGTGTTATAGATGCAAAAATGACTCCCAGCTTTTTCAGAGAACCAGTAACCACTTGCCGTTATGACTATGGACATCAAACTATACTTGTGACAACTCTTTTCAGAAAAAAGAGGTGTTCATTATCTTTGCAGAGCTTGCTAAGTATTTGGAAATGGCAAAATAAATGACTGTATTTATTGATGTTTGTACATATTTTAATTGTATATTAATGCACTAAAAGAATTAAGGTGTATATGATTTCATATAGCCTCTGTAGGTTTACCACAGTTACGACAATGTGGGATTTTTATAGGTAGAGATCTTTCTAGTTTTTTTGCATTTCCAGAGGAAAAGCAGAAAAGACAGGATACAGTTTCCTCAGGTCAGCTAAATTAATGAATTAATAGGCCAGGTGAAATTTTGACATTTATCTGAACTACCAAAAAGCAAATACTGTCTTTCCTGAGGTATCGTCAGAGTCTGCAAAGCTACAGAGGCATTAAAAATAAATTGTAAACCATGAAATTTTAACAGGGTTGTAGGTAAAGGTTGCTAATATTTGCAAGTGATAGTCCTTTCACTTTGACTTCTGAGTAAGAAATTCCACTCATGACCAGCATTATAAATACATACTGTGTATCCTATATATATACAAGTATCTTCTATATACATCTCTATAGCTTAGGGAAACAATGTTTTTTTCATTTTACTTGTTAATTGATTTCGTTTCATTGACGAATGGAGGCACATATAAAAGAATCATTGATGTTTCCTTTTCCTTCTTTAAAATACTGTTAGTGTAACTTTAAAAACTTGTTGACCTTGAATAACAAAGCAAACAGAACCAATTTCACTGTTAATGTCTAATTCAATTATATATCCTATTCAGACAGGTAATTTGCAACCCCTTAAAGATGTTTATTAAGAACTATTACTGATTCTTTTTAATCAGAAAAGGAGGAGATTCTTGTCCAGGAGAGTACTGTTTTTTTTTAAAAAAAAAAGCTTTTGTTTTAACTTTTTCATAAGCTTTTGCTTTTTAAAAAGCTTGTGCTGTCTTAATCAATCAGCTTCTTGGTTTTGCCTTGTGTTCCTCTGTCCAGTGGCTTTCATTTCCTTACCATAAAGAACCAAATAGCTTGTCTGTTTTAAGGACCTGCATCGTGTAACCTGGTATAATGAACGGGTTAAATCTGTTCTGTGCTGTCTTGATCAGTCATTTCTAATATATTCGAACAAATGCTTTTGCATGTGTTGCAATTCTCTTCCTGAACATAAACTTGCCTAAACATGGTCCCTTACTGGTGTGTAACATATGCTGGTGTGGCAGTCAGAGTTATGTGGCAGCAAGCAGTGCTGCACTGTTGAGAAATTTGGTGCTATAATTTCACGTTCTCTCTTTCTGTCTTCAGA